AATCTTTTTTCACTTTGATACCCTTTGTTCAGGTCAGGAGCTTATGTTCCCGCCCCCCGCGACTCCGAAGCGCTCCCGCTTCTTCAAAGCTCCTCAGCTCGCTCTCTCGCTCCCGCTCTTCTAGCGGATGCTTCGGCTCTGGCCGATCGTCGCATCGCTGAGCGGCCGCTCCCGCTCTCCTAGTTGTTTGATCTCCCACTCCAGCTTGTACATTATTTAATTCCTAATTAGAACTCCAATAAAGCGGATCATTATATTGAAAATAACCACGCCCCCCCGGCCTACTACTTTCTTGAGGTATTCTTTTTGGTGGTGATTTTCCCTTTACGTTGACTGCGGCGCGGGAGTGTTCTATATTAACTTTTGTGCCTATCTGGAGATATTGGAAATTGAATTTCCCCCCTCGAGCCGAACATTTGGTCCTACAGAGCCAGATTTGTGGATTTCTGGATTTCCGGATTTTATTGGATTTTGGATTCCGGATTTTTTCTACAACTCCGCTTCACCAGCAGTTCTCGGCGTTTCTCTGCTTCCAAGATAAGTACTCCGTATTCCGTCGCCCCCCTCGCTGCCGATCTTCAGCAGTAGTCCGAACAATTAATTTCGGTCACTCTGCTGCAAGATTAATTTTCCGTGTCGACTCCAAGAGCGAGTTTTCCTGACAACGGCAGTTGAGGAATTTTCCATTTCCTATTTTCCACTTCATAAAATTGGCAAATGGTTTCAATCCGTCTCCGTTTTAAACGTCGCCATATTCTTTTCGTCCGCTTTCCTCTACATATTGGCATTTATCCGTACATCAATGTACAAAACGGTTCCTACATGAGAACACAAATTCATACATATGTCCATACATCGGCTTACATAAAAAATATTGATTTTTATGTCGCACAATAGAAAATACAAATTCCAATAAAAAGAATTTATTAACAATCAAAATACAGTCCGCTGCCTACGAATAGCTATCCAGTGCTATAATATAAATCCATATACATACTTATATTATATTTTCTCCATATGAACATATACAAATCCATTACATACAACATTTTTAAAAAATATATAAAACAAGAAAATCAAAAAAATACAATAAATAACGAATAAAATATTGCAAAAAATTTGTAAACCAGTGTCCGTATTTTTGTGCATTTCATTGTTGCGCCTTGCATAGTTCCGCTGCCGCCGCGACATATAATTTTCTACTTACATACATATGCATACACTAGAGCTTTACATCGCCGGCAGCGTAACCCAACAAACATTGTGTTGGGAAAAAGGTGTCAGGTGTTCCAATCCCACCATTCCGGTTTAATTATTTTTTCTTTACAATTAATATATTTTTTAAATTAAATAATAATTAATCAATCAATTATTGTTAAAGTTTTTTTACTCGCAATCCGCAATCCTCATAATTACGTAATCTACATCCTTCCTGCATTTATTTTAAATACGAAAATAATAAAAACTCTGCATTTCCATTCCGCAATTATTTATAAATATAAATAAATTTCGATTCTCGTCGCATTTGCTCCAATTAATATTGGCTCCACTACAAATAAATTTTCCATTCTCGTCGCATTTGCTCCAATTAATATTGATTCCACTACATATATTTTCGATTCTCGTCGCTTCTACCACAAGTAAATTTTTTCCAGTTTAGTTACTTGCAATTCTGAGATTGGTTAATTCCACCATCTACCATCTACCATTCGAATTCTACGGCATATTCTTGCAATCCATATTTGTTTCGATTTTACCGTCTCACATTGCTACTCCTTCGATTTTGTTGACGGTACTGGGAGCAAATAATTCTACCATTCGAATTCTACAGCATATTCTTGCGAACATCCTTTATTTTGAAAATTCTGCTCAATCCAGCAGCTTCATTCACCTACTTAGTTGGTCACTCCTGCCTACTCCCTAAGGAATATAAATATGTCAGAAGGACAAAGGTCAATTCCCCAAGACGCAAGTCAGAAGAGGGAGATATCCAGAGCCAACGGCCCTCTAGATGTTGCTATGCTTGAGTTTATAGCAACTAGCAACCGTCTCATCCAATTTGAAAACCAGATTTTTGCGGCATCCACTTCCAAGCCCAATTCATTCACATTAAAGATCCGTCGAGATCAGATCCAGTCCTTATGGGAAAAGGTTGAACGGGAGTATGAGACCGTTTCCAGAGCAGCTCTTCAAGAGGGAAGTAGCGGAAATCTTCCGCTACTTCAAAATAAATACGAACACTATTATGCGGTGTACGAAAGATGTGCTTCCAAGCTGAGCGAAGACATTGACCGCGTGTCCGTCTCCAATTCACAGGCAAGAGCAGCTCCGCCACCAGAGACATTCTCGAGGGGCTGCGATCTTCCGCCATGCAATACAGGAATCTTCGACGGAGATTATCTGCGCTGGCCCACATTTCGTGATCTGTTTACGGCCATGTACGTGAACAATTCCAACTTAACTCCAGTGGAAAAGCTTTTCCACTTAAAAGCCAAAACTAGCGGCGAAGCTCACGCCATCGTTACGAAGTCTCCGCTAACTAATGATGGCTTCCAATCCGCGTGGTCAGCGCTTCACGATCGTTTTGAAAACAAACGCGCGTTAGTAAACAATCAGCTTAAGAAATTATTTAACATGGCGTCCATTGAACGCGAATCCTCGGCAGCCTTGAAGGAGCTGCAAAATACAATCCAAAATTGTCTAACATCGCTGAGAATTTCCGGCCTTTCTACTGAGAATTGGGATTGCCTCCTTGTCTATTTGTGCTCCACAAAACTTCCGAAGCTGACGCTTTCATTATGGGAGCAATCCATCGAACAAAAAACCGAAATTCCTACGTGGCCGGAACTTGATTCATTCCTAACAGAGCGCTATAGAACTCTGGAAGCCATAGATTCTATCCAGCCTACTGTGACACACTTTCGTTCATCTAAACCGACAATTTCCAACCCATCGCCACGAGTACTACAATCCTTTAGTACGAGGATTCTACATACGTCCAAGATATGCGATTTGTGTTCTGCAGAGAACCATCCAGTGCGTTTGTGTCCACGCTTCCTTCAGATGACGATAGTCGATCGATCATCTTATATCCAGAAAAAGCAGTTGTGCTTAAATTGCTTTGCAAGCGGTCATCCACTCCGTAATTGCACAAGCGCCCACAATTGTCTTACTTGTCACGGTCGGCATCACACTTTGTTGCATCCAAGCGACTCATCTTCTAGTGTTCCGATTCCTCGTGATGACACCCGACAAATATCTCCACCTATCCAACGGATTTCGTCGTTCTCTACACGAGTGACCAATGCGGCCGACTCCTTCAATTACTGGGTTCCATACAACGACGGCAAAAGCAGACGTTCCCGAGGTATTTCATCCTACCAATGCCGAGTCTGTCAAGGGAACCATCCTCTTCGGAAGTGCCACCGGCTTGATGCGAAGAAACGGCTCCAGGCAGTCATCGACAGGAAATACTGCGTCAACTGCTTGGCCCACCACCATTCTGGAGGATCTTGCCGTAGTAACGACCGATGCCAGTCGTGTGGACAGGATCATCACACACTTCTACATGCCGACGACCGCTCAGCGACTCCAACACTTTCTCGAGCGAAGGACTTCTGATATTTTGCGTATCCTCGCAAGGGGGGGGAGAATGTTCAGGTCAGGAGCTTATGTTCCCGCCCCCCGCGACTCCGAAGCGCTCCCGCTTCTTCAAAGCTCCTCAGCTCGCTCTCTCGCTCCCGCTCTTCTAGCGGATGCTTCGGCTCTGGCCGATCGTCGCATCGCTGAGCGGCCGCTCCCGCTCTCCTAGTTGTTTGATCTCCCACTCCAGCTTGTACATTATTTAATTCCTAATTAGAACTCCAATAAAGCGGATCATTATATTGAAAATAACCACGCCCCCCCCGGCCTACTACTTTCTTGCGGTATTCTTTTTGGTGGTGATTTTCCCTTTCGCGATTTCGGTGATTTCTACGGTGGTTTACGTTGACTGCGGCGCGGGAGTGTTCTATATTAACTTTTGTGCCTATCTGGAGATATTGGAAATTGAATTTCCCCCCCTCGAGCCGAACACCCTTTAAGAAGGCGTATTTGTGGGCGTTACATTATGCAGTATATATGTATGTACCTTTTACAACAATTACCTGTCCAATGCCGTTTAAAATTTTCGATTACCTTATTTGGTTCAAAAGATATGATTTTTGCAACGCTAAATGAGAAAAGGCGCTACTGTGCGTCGTGGGTAAATTCAATCAGCTTTATTTGGCTGCATACATATAACATAACATAAGCATAAGACCGCGCTCCCGCCCGCTTTATTCCGCTAAGGCGAGAGCGGGAGATTGGCAGCGTTAAACAAGTTGGACTTATATTTTTGAAACAAGGCTTGCTTTTCATTCCTTAGCTACTGGAGGAAGTTGTTCCACCAAGGAACAACTGGAATACTGCGTTTGGCTGCAGCTCGGATGCATTTAGTTATTTTAGCAACTTGGTGGTCTATGGAGTAGGATTTCCACTTTTGAGGGAAGTTTGAACATTCACTCTCGAAAAGTTTTCAATTTGCAAGATCAGTTTTGTATTTTGGAAAAGGGGGGATCCGTCTGGGTTTGGATTTATTCACAACGTAATGTGAATAGGTAAGTGATGGAAGTCCATGTGGTGTTTTGGAAATGGACCTGTTTGTGAAGTGTGGAATTCGTGGGGAAATTAAAGATATGTCTACGTATGTGAGCATATTGTGGGTAGAAATGTGCGTTGTTGAGCCATCGTTAAGGGTAATCATATTGAAATCGGCTATGGCCCGCTCTAAGGCTTTGTCACGCCCATGCCGGCGAGCCCTATAGGGCTCCATGCATTAAAATCACCTAACATTAGAAGGGGACCCGTGAACTGGTTACTGATATTTAGGAATATAATTCTTTTATTCATTAAAGTAAGGATTACAAATTGTTCGACCTTATACCTTTTAACATAAATTTTTACTTATTATATCTTTTTAGGGTGGCTGGTGGTGGAAGTCCTGTGGCAGGGGATTAAATGGACTTTATTTGCATGATCCGCAAGATATAACTGCTCGTCAAGGGATTGTATGGTTTCGCTGGAGGGGCTGGGACTATACCTTAAAAAAGTCCACTATGATGATTCGACCTAAAATATCCCAACTAACGTCAATGTCTGGAAATTCTATGTAGACAATTAGCAATAATTTTATATTTTAATAACACAGACACATTAATTAAAAAAGTGTAGTGGTTGAAAGAACACATTATCCTACCACCGTTTCACGCACACAATTTTATTTAAACTAAATAATCATATTCAATTTTCGAATAGCACCTCAAGTCAAATCGGATGTCTAATACGGGACCAGATTTGCAAAATTTATGAAATATCTGATATTCCAACCCATACACTTTTTTGTGTGGCTGTGTAATTATACTACATTGTAAAATATTTAACTACGATGATTACATAAGATAAAAGCTTCTCTAAAAATAAAAATTTTAAAATGTATTTTTTTATTTTTTTGTATAAAAATTCCGTAGTGATTGGACGAGAAATTTATAAACAAAGCTGATGCTATCGACAAAAACAATTGAAAACTATAAGCGAACGTAACTGACTGTATCTATAACTCTTTAATAAGGAGGTAACTCTCCAAATTTAAAAATTTACTTTTCATTTTTTCATTAATCCGAATTCTAAACAAGAAAGGAAGCTAACTTCGGCACGCCGAAGTTTGTATACCCTTGCAGATTAGTTTTCATATTTATATTATAAATTATAATGCCGAAAACAGACACTAAACAAAGTTTCATAACAATTTACCTATACTTATTATGTTTAAAGTTTAACAGTTACAGTTTTACATTCCCAGCTTTACATTTTCTCTACATCTACCGATCGCTTATATGGCAGCTATATGATATAGTTGTCCGATTTTCATAAAATTTATTCTAAAATTCTGAAATAATAACAAAAGCTCATATCTCAGAGTAGATGAAAATACGATGAAAAACAACAAAGTTAAAATTTGTTTCCTATTACTTTTCCTATCGTTCCTATGGCAGCTATAAGATATAGTCGTCCGATTTTCATAAAATGTATACCAAAATTTTGGAATAATACCAGAAGCTCATGTGTCAAAGTAGATTAAAATACGTTGAAAAACAACGAAGTTATAATTTTTCGATTAATTTCCCGATCGTTCCTATGGCAGCTATAATATATAGTGGTCCAATTTTCATAAAATTTTTACGAAAATTCCGGAATAATATAAAATGGCTATATCTCAAATGATGGAATAATATTGAAAAACAGCCAAGTTATAATTTGTTTTCCAAAAATGTATCGAACATTTGTATGGCAGCTATATGATATAGTCGTCCGATCCGGCCCGTTCCAACATATATAGCAGTGAGAGTATATAGAAGACTATATGCAAAGTTTAATTCAGATAACATTAAAACTGAGGGACTAGTTTAGGTAGAAACGGACAGACGGACATGGCTAGATCGACTCGGCTATTGATGCTGATCGAGAATATATATACTTTATAGGGTCGGAAACGTCTCCCTCACTGCGTTGCAAACTTCTGACTGAAATTATAATACCCTGCAAGGGTATAAAAAAGGGGAAAAACAAATTATAATGAAATATGTTAAGGGAGTCTTCTCATTGGGCAACTTTTTTTTTCGATTTTTTTTTTTTTTTGCATTTATTTATAGCTTGGGATGGTGTGTATATGTCCGATTTTTAGAAATTCGAAATACTTTAGAAGATACAGCCTTTTTTGTGAAGCAAGATCTATGCAAAATGAGCTTTTTTCAAACTTCAAACGCGTTTATCTCGAAACCGCGTTTTTCGAACTGGCGGCCATGATATCTCCAGTTCAACTGAACCGATTTTCATGAAACAAAGTGGAATCGACGCAGAATTGTCACCATTTTCGGCTGACGGAACAGATTAAAAAAAAAATTTTTTTTCTATTTTTTTTTACACTAAACTACAAAAAAAAAACGCCCGAAATCGAATTTTTTTTTGAATGGCCGCCATTTTGTTTTAAAAATTTAAAAAAATCTGTTCCGTCAGCCGAAAATGACATCTATTCTGATTATAACCCCGTTTTTATTTTTCATTTCGGACGCTCTGGAGACCCTGAATCGTGGCCGCCAGGACGACACCTTTTTTTCGACCACCAAGTTTGAAGTCTCATTACTCTTTGAACAACCCTCGTATCGAGGCAAGAACAACTTTTTTAGTTACTTTGAACATTTTTGAATATAATAAATAAAAAAAGTTTTCAATTATTCTTTGCGTTTTCAAATAAGAATTTTTTTAAAAAGGGTAAAAAAAAACGGCTTTTGAATGAGAAGACCCCCTTAACAAAAATTTTTTGGGAAACTGCGACATATTCCATGAACCCTGAGACCGAGTGCTAGAAAAGATTTGGTATCCGAATGTATCGCGGGAGAAATCGTGCCCCGGTGTTACCTATTTCCGTTTCCTCCCCAGTCCTGTTCCCTGCTAGGGTGTCTGTCTTGCTAAAACCCCTTATGGCAATTGCACCAACGAAACAGTTATTTGTTAACGGGCTGGCTTTGTTTATTTCTGGCTTGTATAACATTTCGCTGTCCCAAGTCAACCATGTACAAAATTCCTTAGTGCGTTAGCTTGACCTTTGTTTTGTCTCTGATCCGGCAAGAGCTCGTTTAGTTTGGTTGGCGCCCCTGACGCAACCCGAAGATCCCTATCATCCCACTTTCGATGTGACTATCGTTATTGGGACTGTCCCACGGAATAAATCTGATTGTCCAGCCCAAAAAGTCGTCTGATTTCGCAAGACGGAAATCGAACGGCTCAATAATTTTATAATTGATAATAATTGGTCCGGGCTGGCAAAAATCCTCCATCTGAACCCTCCCCGAGGTTGGCAATGGGCACTGTATTAACCCGGATACGGGTAAAGCATCCCTGCTTGCTCCGTCCGTGGAGGAGACGTTTGCCAATAAAATGCAACGCTCAGCCGAAAGCGCCTCTATGGACGCACCGGAGAGCAAACGGCACCGCGGGCCTAAGGAGACAGAAATGGCGAAAAAGCCCAAAAAGACCGCAAAAGTCAGTGAGGTGACCAAACGACATTTGATCGTGGCACTCATTGACAGAAGCGATGAAGCCGGCAAGATGACCGAGGGGCGGTGAAAGATGGTGCATGCGCGGTTCGTTGAGATATTGTGTGCACGGATAGAGGAAGATCCCGAAGCTCCACATTTGATGGTGGTGGGTGGCTAAACGGTGTCAGAATAGTGTCAAAGTGCATGGAAGAACCGACGAGAAAGTGGCTGACGCAAGCGGTCTGCCAGTTGGAGGCGCGTGGGAGGGGGCCAAGCTGGAGGTGGTGGACCGAGAGCTAATCCCATCCATTCCAAAGGCGAAGGTACTCTCCACCATCGCAATCCAAGGGGACCGAGCGCTGAAACTGCTGCACCGTCATAATCCGGTTTTACCAACCGCGGACTGGAAGGTTCTGCCCGTTGCGACCCCATCACCCATGGAGGGGGGGGCACAGTGCAGTCCTCCAGATAAACAAGGAGGCAGAGGACATCTTCTATCCCAGATACGGGAAGATGGCGTGGGGCATGGGTAGCTTATAGCTGCGCCTCAAAAAGCATCATCCCGGGGATAAGGATGCTCACACCTTGAAGGCAGGCGTGGTGGAGAAGGACCAAGGTCTGGAAACCATCAAGGATGTCGCCCAGGTTACGCTGGATGACTCCGACGAAGGAGTCAACCCGTCGTATAGAGGTGAGCCCCGTACCAATGCAACACAGGGTGCTGCAGCTTAACCTCCATAAGAGCAAAGTCGCGTCGGCGAAACTCCTCATAGCCATAGAGCAAGGATCCGCCGACATAGCTTTGGTATAGAAGCCATGGATCGCCTCAGGCATTGCCATCGCTGGCCTAAAGTCAGCAAATTACAATTTGTTCCATCCACCAACGGTAAGCAGAAATAGAAACGTCGTACTTGTACGGAAGGGTCTACACGCTAACCTTATGTCTCATTAAAGCACTGATGACCTGACCGTGGTGATGCTAGAGAGCGAAAAAAAGCGCCTTTTGGTAGCTTCATGCTACATGGCATATGATAGGTCGGCCCCACTAGAAGAACTCATGAGCTTGGTAGAAGCCAGCCCGAAGGACCAGCAACTGCTCGTAGGTGCAGACGCCATACGGTTCCAATATGCATTCGAACACTCTCCAACACGGCTCTGGACATATTAGAATCCGGGGAAGACATAGAAAAGCCCCTAGAGACCCTCTCCAAAGAACTGCTAGATGCGTACCACGCATCGTTCCCAATATCGGACACGAGAATGAGGACCAGGCCACCCTTGTGGAATAAGGACCTTTCACTCCGACGAAACAATATAAAAGAATTCTTCAAAATCGCCAAGCAGGCGTAAGATGATATCATCAATGAGGAATACTAAGACCTACTAAGGGACCACAAGAAGAAAATACGCAAGTCGCACAGAAACTCGTGGAAGAACTTCTTCTCCAATATAGAGACTGCCAGAAACGGCTAGACTCCGAAAGCCACTATCGAAGCAGACAACCATACAGAGTTAGTTTAAACGCGACGAAGGCCAGTGGACTGAGGGCAGCGAAGAGGTCCTAACAGCACTAACGCATACGTATTTCCCAGGATGCACTGAGATAACCGATGCAAATAAGCACCAGAACCTAGCAACTGGAGAAAAGCATAAACCAAAAGATCTAATATCCTATAGAAGAATCCACCGGGCTATAGACTCCTTTGTGGGGATAAAAGCACCAGGACTAGATGAAATATTCACTAGTGTTTAGGAGGGGGGTGGCCTGGAGAACCTCCGCAAAAGGATCCACTATAAGTTTATCCTACGAAGAAGAAAACGAAGAATTTGGGGGTCGAAAAATGATGATGGCATAGAGCGCCCGCTACATACATATATTGACTTTCGTTTTGGTACTTAGCCTAAGGACCCGCTGCCGACCGAGAAGCCCAGCTTAACAGCGCGAGAGCGGAATAATCGTGAACCAGAGCGGACTAGCCGTCCCTAAGCTCGACTAGCTGCGAGCGACGATCGGAAACACGGGAGCGTGCGATCGGGAATACCGAGGAGCGGAAAGCGGGGGAGCGTTGCTAAGCTGGGAGCGCATGAGCTTTTGGAAGCTCGGTGGGCAATGGAGGGAACAGGGGCCTCCTGACGTGAACATTCAGCCCCCCTTACAATCACTCGGGTTGCAATAAACCCGTAAAGGACGATGCACTATGGGGCGAACGACCACTTTAGGTGGCATAAACCCATTTTTTAAAAGTCATTAAACTAAATATTTTTTAACCGTAATGTATTCAAATATCATTAACCTGTTATGTTACATACCGGAAATTTTAACAGAGCGCGCCAATGTTAAGTTAACAGCTGTTAAAGTCAGCTGTTGCGTCCGCGTTACTCCAGTGATTACCGATTGTT